GGTCTGACGGGTCGATGGCGGCGATATCTCGCAGGCATGCATACCATCGATTGCGAAAATTCGGGAAGTTGACGGTTCCAAACGGAATCATCCGGCACGAAAGGGTTAAATCTAATTCCGATTTTAGTTTTCTGAATACATATTGGTGAGTGTATCGTGGGAATTTCCAAGTGCCATCGAGAAAACTTTCTTCCTGCAGCACCTTTACATAACTTACATAACTACATAACTTTTTGGTACTTAGGTACCAAAAAGTTATGTAAGAAAATATTATTCTGGAACGATTACGAACCGATTGAAGACATGAATCGAGCAGACGATGACAATTTATTTTGGGTCCGATGATGGGGGAAGACACAACTCGATAGAGCTGATCGCTATTGCAAAAGAAGACCGATTTGGCTCGCAAATATATACAGAATTATTATTTTCGGCAAAAGGTGAGTGCCTACTATCTCGATTCGTTTCGTCGAGTTTCCTCGATTGGTAACTATCGGAAACATCCTGCAATTCATCGCCAATTTTTATTTGCGAAAACGATACTCGACTCATGAAGGAACGACCCATTCGCGAGTAGAGAGGAAACGTAGCCGATGCGTCGTTATTTGTTGCTGGCATTTGCTTGCGTGGGGGGCCGAAGTCACACTTGTTTGGGGGGCATTCGGCATGAGCGGATTTTGATCCTGCATTTGCGAATCCGGGATATACGAACTCGTCCGCATTTTAGCACCGAATTTTCGGATTAACGAAAAATAACATATTCAGAAAACATCGTGGTTGCGATTCATTTCTACTTAGGAATCCGCTTGGGCTTGCACGCACAAGCGCGGTTCCTTGCATCACGCTTGGAGGCATGTGGACGGGTCTGCCGGATGCAAAGTGTGGAATGGGCTTGAAGCATGAATCAGCATTCCAAGTGTTATTGCATTCTTTGCCATTTCTTTCATTTCCGTCAATATTATGGTCGCTTTCGTTGTGCGACGCGAATCATTAAAAAAAATGAGTTGGACGAGGTCCATGAGGCAAGATTTGCCGGCCCTGCGCTCCTTCTCTTTCCTTATCGTTCGCTTTGGTTTATCTTGGAGTACTCGAGAGTACATGGAAAAATGCGGTTCAATTTGCAGAATAAATTCTCTTGCCGTCGCCTAACGGGATGGCAGGGAGCATAGAACGGGCTTTCTCGTGGCAGAAATGTATTCATGTGAAAATGGAATCTCCAGAATTACGAAGATTCGGTGGGTGTCCGTGATGCACACGACGGAATATTAGGGGACACAAAAGCTCCTGCACGTCGATCGATATCTAAGTAGGTCACAGTCGCCATAGAACGGAAAGCGGGCCGAATGTTTTCCATTGCGATATCGAGAGACCCATCGACATTGCAAAGGAATTGGAATGTCTCAATGCCAGACATTTTGCGCAAGCGAGATGTGGAGATGTGAAGGACCACAGCTTCCAATGTCCATAGATGATATTTCCCGATTTAGAATCGAGGGACAGGATTACCAATACTGGTCTCAGATGATTCCACTGGGCTCTTGGCTTTTTCCCGCGTGCTTTGCCTTAAAACGACGAAAACGAAAGATTTCTATCACGGGAGGAAACGGGCTTCGGCCTCCAAGAGACTATTAGGTCAATTGTATGGTCTTCATTTCCTCGTCTCTGAACGACCCGTGTCGTGAATCAGCGAAGCTCACGAGCGACTGCGACGAATGCATTCTCGGACGGTTCGAGTGCAGGACGAAATCGTCAGGCGAGGCGGAAAGAAAAATCAGGGGTCGTCGAGGAAACGGCTGAGGCCACCAGTGATGCGAGAAAACTCGGACGCGAAGTCGAAACGACAAGCAGAGAATGCGGCTCGAAACCATTCGAGAAACGAGCTTGGCAGATAAAAAAAAAGTTTCGGCGACATCAAGAAATGAAGAGGAGATCGGCATCTCTCGAATTCGTGGTGAGATGTGACGACTCAGAAGCGTTCAGCCAGTACTGGCAACACTGAAATGCACCATATTTTCGGGGAAGAAAATTGAATAAGTCTCGAAGAGAAGAGAAATCCCTACTCGTCACACCTACGAGCGATCCTCTTTAGGGGAATGAACGGCAACAGATGTAATGAAAATACTTGAGTATACTTTCATCGAAATTCAAGTGATAGTTCCATGCCAACCCTTACAAAACGTCTACCCTCCTGTTGAATTTGAAACCAGGCAGATGTTCCTCCCGGCGAAAATCCATTTCTCGTAGTGAAGGAGCGACCACCACGCGGTCCGATTCCACCTTGCTAGCGTGGTGGCCGAGGACGTGCCAGAACTCCGTCGGATGAGTGGATTGGAATACGATTAAACTTCTGGAGGGAACCGAATGGACTCCGAACGAAGCCGATGGTTGCGGATTCGAAGATCCTTTGTTACCGTGTGACTCGAGCAAACTCGGCGCGAAAAAAACGCACCCCGAGACCGAAGTCGAAGGGCCGAGGGAGATAATGGACTCTCTGCCAAGCGAACCTAATCCACTCGCGCACTCGAAGATCGAGGTTACACAACCTGGCGAAATGATTCCCTCTCTATTCCAGGAAATTGCGCCACGAGTGTCGATAAACCACACTCGTGGGATTAGTGGTTGTAAGCCGGGTCCAACTTGACGATGTGACCCCGCTTCCCCACTAGTGCCGTGGCGTTTCTCTCCATTTCTCCAAGAACCGTGCCGATAGCAATGCCATCTTTTGGACTCGGATGTTCCAGGGAGAAGTACGGAAGGGATAGCCGCGACGAATCGTTGGACGCCTCTAAGTAGTCGTACGGAGATGGTAAATGATAGTCTGGAGAGTTCGTTCGCGAATGCTCGTCGCTCGCGTGGCACGAAGGACGAAATGCGGGAAGAGCTCTCACGTTTCAGAAGGATGGGCCGGGGAGGAAGGGCGGAGTCCCACAGGGCTTGGATGCATCCTGCATGCACAGGAGAGGCTCTCCGTTCGGGGAAGGGGGGATGTGGGCGAGGGTGGCAGGTTAGTTAAGGATATGCTCTCTCTGGGCTTGGGATGAGATCGGCGAGAAATCTCACCTGTTTCTTTTCATTTTTCTTAACACTTTCTCTTTTTTATATAAAAAATAGCTTCCCTCAAATTCGCTCTGATAATGATAATATGGTCTTACGAGACGTTTACTAGACTCTCACCAATAAAATGAGGCTGTTGTCATCTTAATATTATGGCAGGAACCGGTGGCGGTATCCCGCAGGCATGCATAAGATCGATTTAAAAAAAATCGAAAAGTTGCCGGTTCCAAACGGAACCCTCCGGCCACATATCTTAAATTCCAGTTTTACTTTTCTGAATACGAATCGGCGTGAGTTTGCACGTGCGAACGAGAAAGTTCTCGTCGCGCAGCACGTCCAAGAACCGAGAAGTTCTGTCCAAGAAAATGGTCTTCGCCAGCGATCACTCCCGGACTCGAGAAATTAAATTTGTGCAGACGAAGGAAGTCGATTTTGGGTCCGATCTGGAGGGAAGACAGCTCGATAGATCCGATCGATCAAATCAGACCGATCTGGTTCACGCTCGCATCGCGCCCTCTTCCGCGTGAAAAGAATCCGAAATGAAAAAAAAAAGAATCAGAAATGGAATTCGCAGAATCGATCGACCGGAAAAGAGAGAAAACCACCGCCACATCGTTCCGACGGGAAATTCAATGAGGGAGGCAGAAGCGGCAGGCGATGACCAACACGATTCACGGCTTTCGTTCTTCTTTTTTTACCGAAGTGCCTGAAGGGCGTTTCGCGCTTTGCGTGTTGTCCGTCCTTCGCGTGTATGCTGGGACGGGTAAACAGACACACGCGTGCCAGCACGCGTCCGCTTGCATTCAAGGGTTTTCACAAATCCCAAGGCATTCGTGCGGAATTCGAATGTGCTCAATCGTAAACGCAAACGTTGCTTTCACGGTCGAGCGTGCGTGCGTGCGTGCGTGCGCATGTCTGCCTGACCCAGCATCGACGCGAAGGATGTACGGCATGGAAAGTGTGAAACGATCGTTTCGTAATTTCCGTGTGACGTGTGCAATTTCGACACGCACGCTGCATGCGTCAGGGCGCATGCATCCCCACGTGCATTTTGTCATTTCACAGATAGAGGGACAAAATAAGGAAAATGTGTTTATCCCACATTTTATGCCTGTTCGGGAAGAGCAATACAATATATAATATTACCACATGGCACGAAAGCTGTGCTCGAATGAGATGCTTCAAAAATGGGAGCAATCCAAAAACTTTTCATCGTATTCTCTGTCTCTGTAACTCGATGTAACATGAGTCACGACCAATTTTCCTCACTAATATTCATTTAAATATATCATAAAGTCACCACCCCATTTTGATCGGCTGTAACTTTTCCAGGGACGGTCAGATTCAGCTGATATTTGCCAGAGTGGTTCATGAGTCAAGGAAGTTTTTTCCCATGACGCAAGATGGCGCTGACATCTACCCCAGCGCCATCCATCTAGTTGCTATGTCAAATTTGAGTCACGTGGAAAAAAAAACTGTTTGCCTCATGAGCCTCTCTGCCAAATATCATCTGCGTCCGAGATTCCATTCAAAAGATATGGCCGAGCAAAATTGGAAGGTGGCAATCAAACTTTGGTCGATTTTAGGAGAAACTCGGGGAATTATAGGCCAGTCTGTCACCCGAGAATGTGGAATATCGGTTTCACAAGGTCTTTCGCTTATCGCATAGCGAATATTTTTTCACGATGGAAACGTCACTCGAACGCCGTACATTCTGCATTCACAATTTTTTCCATATCTACCACTTCATCATTTCTATCTACTTAGAACGAATCGTATTGTGCATCCGAATCCCCATTGGGAAGTCGGGATGTCCGGGACCACCTCCCATTCGTTTCGCGCCATTCGTTTCGCGCCATTCGTTTCCCGCCATTCGTTTCCCGCCCTCCGCCTCCTTCCTCCCCCACCACCTCGCCTCCCCTTAACCCCAAGTGTCGGCTTCCTCGCAGCGCAGTCCTAATCCCGCGACGACGACGAGATGGACGACGGCGACGGAAGGGTCCGGTCGGAGGGAATCGACGAGGCCGAAGGGCCCGGGCAGTCCAAATTCCACGAAGTCTCCGTCGATCACAACCGCGTTCACGACCTCTCCGACAACGGTAAGCCCTTCACCCACGCCTCGCCTTTTTTCCCCCGCAAGAGTAAAGGCCTCGCATCTTCTTCTCCGATCACTTATTGCAATGAAGTACGCGGACGGGAGAGAGCCTTAAGCAATGCATAAATAGGAACCCATACATTTTCCATGTTTCCAATTCCAGCCGACTGGGATAGGTCGAATTCGTTACATGTTGAATCATCCCAGTCAGAAATGTATTCCCAGGCCAAGTGCGTCTTAAAGCTGAAATTCAACAAGCTTGGTCCACGGGGGACACATGCATGGGGCGTAACCTACTTTATTTCAATTTTTAAATAAAATATTTCGTATGATCTAAGCCGCTTGGCAATCTGATCTCTCGGCCATGCGTTATTACCAACGAAACGGGACTTTTGAATCGCCCAGTGAGAGACTCGGGGCCGCAGGAACCGCGGACGTTTGCATGCCCCATGCGTGGGCCGCCCGTGGGCCGCCCGCGGGCCGAGCTGGTGAAAGCTGGACTGCGGAGATGGGCAACAGTCGGTTGGGGGATGAAATTGCTCGCTGGGATTTCGAGAAACGTGCTTTGTTGACACGCTTCAAGGAAAATTCTGTCTACGACCATGGATCTAAATCGTCTCGGTTAAGTCTCGTTTGGATCAGGAAGACTGTTCGAGAGATCGGCGGCGACGGAATGCATTTGCAACGTGGTTTTCCGGTTGTTGCGGATGCATTTCAGCTTAACCGGTACAGATTTTTTAATTTCAATAACTTATTTACGAGTGATGCTTGAACTGCACAAATATGCAGACAAGAATGACAATTAAAAAAAAAATTTCTATGAGCAAAGCAACCGATGCAGAACCGTCAGTTGTTGACACGTGGCACCATTCGAGTCCGTGACACACTTTCGTAGCGAGTTTAGAGATAAAAGAAGATAGAACTGATGAAAAAATGAATTGGTGTTTTTTGTTGTTGTTGCAGCGGGCGTGCCGTCCGTGGACAGTCTGCGGCTCAAGTCATTGCATCACATGACGTCTGAAGCCTATCCGAGGGAGGATCACTATTGGAGCTTGAAGGGGGTTTCGCGGGGGTTCAAGAGGCCGACGTTGGACGATCTCCATGCCGTCGCGGTCGTCGGGGAATCACAGGTGCCTGGGGCTTTCTGGATGGGGGAATCATAGGTGCCTGGCGCTTTCTGGATGGGGGAATCATAGGTGCCTGGGGCTTTCTGGATGGGGGCATCCCGGTTCCGACTTTTTTTTTTAACGTTCTGTGGTTGATGCGGTTCTGGGATGGCGGGATGTCGTGGTCGATGGGGTGGCACTCTCGTCTGTTATCTTTCGTGACGAGGTCATATTTTCCGACATGGATCGCCAGATCTTAGCATTGCATACTTTTGGCTACGGTATCTGAAGTCACCGGTGTCTCTCGGCAATCCACCTTCCTTACCAGAGCTATAGGACGCCATCGGCCGAAAAGAGCAGTCCATTCCCCGCGACATGTCGAGCGCTATCGCCTGCCGCGTCGTGCAGCGGTCAGAAGCGGTCGGAAGCGGCCAGAGATCCTGGCGGAGTTCACATTAGGAATGGTTTACGTTACCAGAATGCGTAGCGAGACGCTAGCAGCGCCTCCTGTGAGGCATGAAGTTCCTCTCCGAATGATTTCCCCCCGCGATGTACCAAGACCAAAATCTCCAAGTTTCCACGAGTTGCGGCGCAAATACGTCGTTCTATAACGTCGTACCCTCGTCAACCGACTTCATCGCTTCCTGTCTCTTAGCTATTGAATAGAATCAGGAGGAGGGGCGGAGAAAATCATTCGCGAAAATGTACGTTCTCGCGATGAAGGCGCGCGCGGTTTGGCTTTTTCGTTCTCTCGATGACCGCCTTCCGTCACGAAGCTGGTTTTTCAATGTAGATGATACGGATCATCCGAGAATAAGAATCTGAGTACGATTTCTGTGGCTTGTTTCTCAGGCGGCCCAAGAAAAGGGAGTGAAGGAAGGCCTCCAGAAGGGCGTCATCAAGTTCGGCTGGATAAAGGGAGTCTTCGTGAGTCTACCAATCGCTTCCCAGAGCAGAAGCGCCAGCCAATCAGGAAAGGGTTTCATGCTTCCCATGTGCCTCCCGCAGATCAAATGCCTCCTGAATATCTGGGGGGTCATGCTGTTCCTGCGTCTGTCGTGGGTGGTTGGACAGTCGGGGATCGGGCAGGGTCTCGTCCTCATCTCCTCGTGCAACATTGTCACACTCGTCACCAGCATCTCCATGTCGGCCGTCACGACCAACGGGCAGATCAAAGGAGGTCTCGCATCCGTTCTTCATTCATTTCCTTCTTCGTTAAGAAGTACTATATTCTCGGCTTGCGACATTTTTGGGTGTTTCGGGCGTAGGCGGGATCTACTACATGATTTCGAGGTCTCTGGGCCCCCAGTTCGGCGGGGCCATCGGCCTCATGTTCATGATCGCCAACAGCATCGCATGCGCCATGTACGTCATCGGCTTCTGCGACTCCCTCAAGGCTCTGCTGGCCAACGAATTCGACTCGCGTCCGATCGGCGGCGGGGACAATTTCACTCGGGTGGCGGGGTGTGCCTCCATCGTCCTCATCCTCGGGATCGCCATCGTCGGGATCGACTGGGTCTCTCGGGTCGGTCCTTTCGCCTTATAATAAATAATCTATCGGCTCGTTTTGCTTTCGAGTCGGCGGGGGAGGGAGAGAACGTTCCGAGCGAGTCTGCTCGACTGGAGTTTTAGGGTCTGTTTCATCGCCATGGCTCTTTTTGCAGAGACGGAAGCTCTCCCGTTATAAAATGATGCGGTTGGTTTCGACATGCTTTTGCCAGAGGGTCGAATGCGGAGCACAAGTAAAAAATGTGTCGCAGTTTTATTATCAGAAAAGCCATGTCCGTTTAAGAAGTCCGCATTTTCGCAGAAATATTCTGTCTCATTCCCAAAGGCTGATAAGAAGAAGAGTGCCTAAGGAAAATGCGTGGAACGTTTTTTTGGCCAGATCTCCTAATCGGAATCGAATTTGAAAATAGACGGAGATCCTGCTTCTAGTGATCCTGTTGGCCGCACAGGTGGACTTCGTCATCGGAACGATCATCGGCCCGACGAAGGAGAATATGGCTCGTGGTGTCGTCGGATACAAAAGTATGAGCACGCGTCACGCGACGGTCGAGCCGAAAGACTAAAGGGCAAGGGTAACGATAACGGTAACGGTAACGCCTGTTTCTTTTGGTCTCGACAGTGGAGGTCTTCGAACAAAACTGGGCGCCTGCGTACGGGCCTTCGGGGATCGAGCCGAAAGAGCAGGACTTCTTCAGCGTCTTCGGCATCTTCTTCCCGGCCGTCACGGGAATCGTGGCTGGGGCCAACTTCTCTGGCGACCTTAAGGTGGGCTGTCCCCCTGCATTAGGAACAGGCGAAATCATCGATGTGAATAAGGCGAATGGATTGAAGGAAATGTCCCTGGTGGCTGCGGGACACGAGACAGAAAGCAGTATGAGGGGAGACAGAAAGCAGTATGAGGGAAAACTGCAACCTAAAAAAAATTCCTAATAGGAGAGGATTTGAACGAGTTTGAAACAGGAAGCCGACATGCGATTGCTGATGCATATCCGCCCAAGCATCATGCTTACGTAAACAAGATATAAATTCTTTGCAAACAATGTAAATTTCTTGCGATTGCCTTGAAAATGACATCACGTTTACGTCAAATTTACGTTCCTATATTTACATAACCAAAGTATACGTGTATTTTACATCAACTAGGCGTCACTCCATCTGACGTGAAGTGCATTATATCAGGTTGGTGCAAAATTAACGACACACCATCCATATGAAACTTCAGCTGACCATCCTGCAGTTGCAGTACCAAGATTCATCACTAGGTGGAACCCTTGTTCCCTGTACCCTACAAATGCTATTAAGTACTGGCTTTCCTGATTTAGTATGAGGTTTTCTTACCATCCTTCCACTTTTTATTATGCAATCCATGAATATATGTATGGAAAGCATGAAATTATTATATATTTTAAATAATATATGGCTCAAGGAATCATTAAAAGCAAAAGGTAAGCTTGCTATTAAAGCAGTGCACAGGAGCAGAGAGGAGTAGAAACCCAATTTCACACGTACTGAACCTTCTCTATCCTTAAAGAAAGAGAACTTCTCTAAACATCTATTCCTCCTACCTAAGTTCTAGTTCGGGAGGAGGAAGCAGTGGGTTATCCTGGTACTCTCGAGTGCTGGTGAGGATGAGTACTGATGTACGCGTGTACTCGTCCAGGCACCCAAGGGTTCCAGGGAAAGGGATGGGAGAAATACAGTGTATCATTTCCCTACGAATTGGCTCATTAAATACGCATGATTGTTAGGGAAAGTTAACGTGAATTTTACGTAAAATGAATGTAAACATGCTGTTGGGGATGTAAACGGGAATGTCCATTTTACGTTAATCTTATATCACCGTTTGCGTATCATAGAGGTGACATTTCTTGACAATTTGAATGAATTCAAGAAACAGTCCCTTTTCTTCAATAGTAAGATAAAAATCTCATTCCCAACTCGCATGAGAAAGACTTTTCTCACCTCAGGTCTGAGATTTTTGGGAGACCTATTAGAGGGAAATCGATTCCTCTCACTCGTGAAATTAAACGAGAAATTTAATTTAAACATCCACTTCATCAACTACCTACAGATCATCAAAGGAATACCAAAAGACTGGAGAAACCAAGTTATACTAAGTTCCGCTGATCTGAATACCGATGCAGCGCCTGCGCCAAATCGCATCTCATCTTGCCTATCCCCTATAAAGGCTTATGAATTCTTCTTGAGGGAGTATAATAGAAACCTAGACAGAGCCCCACAACTAAAAAAATGGGAAACGACGTTAGGAATTTCCTTAAGTGCAGAGTTTTGGCAGGAGAAATTTAACCTGATTTACCTGACAGCCAGGTCACCGCAGCTACGGTTTTTTCAATTCAGGTTGATTTACAGGGTCCTCCCGACATTCCGTTTTCTACACCTCTGCCGGTTTGTAGAAGCTCCTACATGTCCTTTCTGTGAAGATAATCACACTCTGATTCATATGATCTTTGATTGTCCGATGTCTAACAAAATTTGGATTGCCCTTAAAGACTTTCTTATTCAAGAAAGGTTTAATGAACAACAACTGAATCTAACCAGTGAAGATATGCTCTTTGGTCTAAGTGGAAGGAATAGCCACTTGCTTAATATAATTTTACTTCTTACAAGACATTTCATTTTCGTCTGTCATATGGAAAAGAAAAAACCCACATTCAATCAATTACTTCATGCCATTAATAAACATTTCCGTGTGGGAAAACTCATAGCATATCGACATGGGAATGCTTTGAACTTTGATAAACTGTGGAATCCATTAAAAAAATTTCCTTGAGAGGCAAGAATGGGTATCCCGTGAATTGTCCCCAGCAATGCGTACTGGACTGGACGGGTTTGTGACAAAACGTCGAGTGCCATTTTGTAGAATAGACATTTCGTTGAACGTTGTATTGTCGAAGTTACTCGTGTCGAAAGACATTTGGTAGAAAAAAAGCATGGAAGAATGCCAGAATGTCGTATGCCAATTTTATTATTGAAGTCATTCATGTCATGCTATTTCGCTGAAATACGCCTGTCAACGGTTTACCGAGTGGAGGTTGTGAACGATGCTTCAAAGAAATGTGAGGGTGTCTCGGTTAATGCAAACATGACAGATTCAAGTCTCTAGTATATCCGTGCGCTTCTGTTTCCTGGGTGCGTGACAAAATTCCAGAATTCCGACGTCTTGCTTTGCAAGCAATTGCTCTTTAACGATTTCCCAAATGAAAACACTGCTCATGCGATTTGCGAACTTCTATGAAAACCTGTGATGCTATCCTTCGACGATATTATTCGTCTGCAGATTTTCACAAATAATTATGCTATGCATGCATATCCCATAATATTTTGGCGGATAGGTAACTTTCGTTTTTGGGAGAGCTCAGGAATGCTGACCAACAAACGAATATTTCTTGAAGTTTGTTTCAATGCTTAAATACTGTTATGCCATGTTAGGGAGGAGGGTATAAAATGCCTTGGCTACTTCAGTTGCAGGACAACCAGCCCAAAAAGCGAATCTAACCAGGAGTTGAACATTTTCTAGATGACCAGGGAGAACAGAGCTCGAGTGTCTCCTTCACTCCACTACCAACTGGAGCTATTATTCATCCTCAATGTTTAGCTTCTTTTCGATATTGCTGATATTGCTTCATCCAATAAAATTCTGGTGACATTTTGAAAATCAGTTGGAAAGTTACTCATGCAGGCACAATGACTGTCTCGCGAAAATAATTCCAGAGTGAATGGAGATGTTTCACATACTGGCATTTCAATAAGTGTTGCAATTGACAGTTTTACTTCTAGTAAATAAGTATCCCACGTGTATCATTACCCTTTTGTACCATCGTGATTGTGGGGGTTGTGTGTAGCTCATGAGATACTTCATCTCCATCTTAGCCAAAATATTTTTTAGAATTCTCGGAAATACTTTAAGACGAATCATGGATCCATGCATGAGAATGAAATAAGGGAGATAAAACTCATCGATAGGCTAGCCCTACATCACCCAGATCAATCATAAAAATACGAACAGACGATGACAAAAGGAAATTTTGTCATCACGTAAAGACTGACCGAAAGGATTTGAATGAAGTACTCAGATCAAGGTCGTGAAAAGAAGCTAACTCCAAGGTATAGAGACTGCTGCCCTCTCGGAAGGTGTGACAGGAAATATATCCGTGTTAGTGCAACATGGAATGACATTCGACTTTTTTATTATACCTTTTCGACTAAAGTAGCGTTCTGTTTTACCCGTTCGACATATTTCCTTTCGGCATTATGGGAATTCGACCACCTTTTCTTTCAACAAAACGGCTTTCACGCATGTGGTCTTCGAACTTTTTCTCGAGTACCCTGGAAAACCTGCACCTCCTTTGAAAGAAATGTTCGATTAAGTATTGAACAACGTTCTTGCACACCCCTTAAAGCATTTATGGCATGTTTTCTCGTACTTCGGCTAGAAGCTCCCTTTGTCATGGTCATGGTTCATAAAAAATTTTGAGAAGAAATTGGGAGGCGCCCCATGTGATGAAGGTTTGTACAATTCTGTAAAGATATCAGTTTGTTTAATTCTCCTACCTATGTGCGACTCCCTCAGTCATGGGCGGAGCCATATTTAAAACGCGCCATCTAGTGTTAGTGCACCCAGCGAATAGGTCTCCAATTCAAATTGATCGGTATTAGATTACCATATGCGAGGGGCCCTTAAAAATATATGGAAGGTCAACAATAGAGTTCAGTTTTGACTTAAGTGTGCTATCATTTTACATTTTCTCAAACTGTTCCAAGTCAAACATGTAAGAGAGAAAGTAAAGTTATGGAAGGTTATTCAAAGGCGTCGCCGTTCTGCTTGAAAACTTCAGGAGAAATAAAAGACTAGAGAATACTAGCCCAGGTACAGATCTGACACTCCACTGACCTCTGTACCACTGGAATAATTATATATATTCACCGCGTCCTGATAATTATTTAACATGGAGTCCTTTAGGGTAGCAATACCCCATAAAAATGGCTTTTTTAAAGTTTTTTTTTAGGAAAAAAATATTTTTGCCCAATTGGCTCAAACTATACTTTAGGCGCTGAAGATTCCCACGTGAAAAAGTTGTATACAAATCTATAGAACTGTATAGAGGAGTTTATAAACTCTATAGAATCTATAAGCCTCTATGTAGTGACTGTATAGAATCCGAATAGAGGTCCATAGGACAAATGACTTTCCGAAATATAGGGATGTTGTTTATGTATCAACGTAATATCCTCAGTATAATACAAATTTTAACCTATACATATCTCCTCTAATTACTGAAGTTATTGTCATGGCATTAACTCTGCTCATAGACTACAGGGTGTAATAAAAGTCAGAAATCATAGGGAAATAACATGGGGATCCTTTCCAGGCAAGATTGTCTGAAAGGAACAAGCTAATCTGAGCTGATTCAGAAACTCTTTTGTTCTCTTAATCTGGAAGTCTGATCCAAGTGGCCCAGAATGATACTGAGTGACCCATGGCGACCCAAAGTGGCCCAACCAAATTTGGGTGTAATTATCAGGTGGGTGATAGTTTTACAAAAATTGAAGCAGACCAAATTTGACCTAGAGTGATAGAGTGACCCATGGCGACCCATTGCAACCATTTCGACCCATGGCGACCCGTTTCGACCCATGGTGACCCATTTCGACCTATGGTGGTTCACCCTGAATCTCTCATTTTCATAGTTGCAGGAGTTGTCTGAAATAGTCCTTGAAGTCTGTATAGAGGAATTTATGAACTCTAGAATATACATTTCTACTGACATTAGAATTCGAATATTCGCTTATAGAAAAAAAAAAACCTGCGATATTGGACAACTGTTTATGCATCAACGTCATATCCTCTGTAGTATACAACGTATGTCCGAGTTTACATAACTTTTAACCCATAAATATTTTATCTTACTGCAGTTATTATCGCGAAACTTTTTTGTGCATAAGACGGTGTCACGGTGTGGCGGATTTCCTCCATCACTGCCATCTAGTGTCTCGCTTGGTGATACATGGAGAAGAACCGTGTGGTGTGGAAGTGTACTTAGCGGNTATTTTCTATACTCAGCTACTCATCTTTCTATTTCTTTGCCAAATTCAACCTTTCCAGCAATCTCCGTTTTGCTCTATCAGAAAATTCAGGAAAATTTACAAAATATGTGCCCTCGGGCTTTTTAACCGAAAAGTACCATTCTTACCAAAATCAAACCTCAGTGAACTGCCCACAAAGTATCAATATTATACGTTTGCCTTTTTCGCTGGTGAAAAATTATGTTTGGAAAACCGACCCACCCAAATGCTATGCCCGGAGGGGATGCACCATGAAAGCTGAATACTCCCTCAACTCCATAAGATAACGTCACTTATACGTGTGCCAAGTCTCACCTTTCCATTTCTGTCCAATTCGCCACGACAATTTCTTTTTTTTTTAAACATCGCCCCTCGAGTAATTCTCCCCCGTAATACTCAAGCCACGGGACATGGAAGGCAAGAGAAGCCAAAAAAAGGCGTGGAACGGGCGGGAATTGAACCCAGGCCTCATGATTACGGATTGGATGTGCTACCACTACACCACCGAAACGGCAACGTATAATATTGATACTTTGTGGGCAGTTCACTGAGGTTTGATTTTGGTAAGAATGGTACTTTTCGGTTAAAAAGCCCGAGGGCACATATTTTGTAAATTTTCCTGAATTTTCTGATAGAGCAAAACGGAG